TGTCAGAGCTCGTTGTTTGTAAAAGTACCGGCCTCTCTCTTATGTGAGTAGGGAGTAGAGGGTACTGTGCTGTTCGGGTCTTCTGGTCAGCTGGTCCAGAAACGCAGAACTTTCAGAGCCTCTTCAGTCTGCTTAATGTCCAGCAGCTCTTGTTGGTAAAAAGTACCGGGCCTCTCTCTATGAGTAGGAGTAGAGGGTACTGGTGCTGTCCGGGTCTTCTGGTCAGCTGGTCCAGAAACTGCAGGAACTTTCAGAGCCTCTTCAGTCTGCTTAATGTCCAGCAGCTCTTGTTGGTAAAAAGTACCGGGCCTCTCTCTATGTGAGTAGGGAGTAGAGGGTACTGGTGCTGTCCGGGTCTTCTGGTCAGCTGGTCAGAACTGCAAGAAACTTTCAATAGATAGTCATCTACCCAAAGAGGATCAGAAAGTTTTAGCTGCACCTGGACCTGCTGACCATAAAACTGGCATACCACCAACTGTAATCTCTACTTCCTACTCAGATAGAGAGAAGCCTGGCATTTTCTACCAGCAGGCCTTAGCAGGTAGTCATATACCTGAAGAGGCTCTGAGAGTTTCATTTGTTCCTGGACCAGTAGACCAGACAACTGGCATAGCAACTGTAACCTCTACTTCCAAATCACAACATAGAGAAAAGCCAGGTGTTTTCTACCAGCAGGACTTACCAGGTAGTCATCTAGCTGAAGAGGCTCAAAAAGTTTTAGTTGTTTCTGGACCAGCTGACCAGACGAGTGGCATACCAACTGTAACCTCTACTTCCTACTCACATAGAGAGAAGCCTGGCATTTTCTATCAACAGGTCTTGCCAGGTAGTCATATACCTAAAGAGACTCTGAGAGTTCCATTTGCTCCTAGTCCAGCTGACCAGAAGACTGGCAGACCAACTGTAACCTCTGCTTCCAACTTACATAGAGAGAAGCCCATTATTTTCTATCAAGAAGCCTTGCCAGATACTCACCTACCTGAAAAGGCTCAGAAAGTTTCACCTTCTCTTGGATCAGCTGACCAGAAGACTGACATACCAACTGCAGCCTCTCCTTCCTACTCACCAATAGAGAAGCCCATTATTTTTTATCAACAGACTTTGTCGGATAGTCATCCAACTGAAGAAGCTCAGAAAGTTTCATTTGTTTCTGGACCTGCTGACCAGAAGACTGGCATACCAACTGTAACTTCTACTCCCTACCCACAGAGAGAGAAGCTTGGTATTTTCTACCAGCAGGGCTTGCCAGGTAGTCATCTAACTGAGGAAGCTCTGAAAGTTTCCGCTGTTCCTGAATCAACTGACCAGAAGACTGGCACACCTACAGTATCCCCCACTTCCTACTCACTTGGAGATAAGTCCATAATTTTTTACCCGCAGGTCTTGCCAGACAGTCATCTAACTGAAGAAGCTCTGAAAGTTTCAGTTGTTTCTGGACCAGCTGACCAGAAGACTGGAATACCAACAGTATCCCCAGTTTCCTATTCACTTGGAGAGAAACCCATTATTTTCTATCAGCAGACCCTGTCAGATAGTCAGCTATCTAAAGAAAGTCTGAAAGTTTTAGGTGTTGCGGGACCAGTTGACCAGAAGACTGGGATACCTCCTGTAACGTATTCTTCCTACTCACAGAGAGAGAAGCCTATTATTTCTTACCAACAGGAGTTGCCAGATAGTCTTCTCACCAAAAAGGCTCTGAAAGTTTCAAATGTTCCTGAACCAGCTGGCCAGAAAACTGGAATACCAACAGTAACCTCTACTTCCTACTCACATAGAGAGAGGCCTGGTGTCTCTTACCAGCAAGACTTGCCTGAATTTGATGAAGAAGCTTTAATACTTTCAGGCATTGCTTCAGGAGTTGACCAGAGAAATGTTATACGAATAGTGCCCTCTGGTTCCTACTCACATAATGGGAAGCCCATTATTTCTTACCAGCAAGAGTTGCCAAATTATACTGAAGAAGCTTTGAAAGTTTTAGTAGTTCCTGGAACAGCTGACCAGAAGACTGGCATACAAATAGTGCCTTCTACTTCCTACTCACAGGGAGAACAGTCTATCATTTATCAGCAGGAGTTGCCAGATCTTACTGAAGTAGCTTTGAAATCATTTGGGGTTTCTGGACCTGCTGACCAGAAGACTGAGATACAAAAAGCATCCTCTAGTTCCTACTCACATAGAGAGAAGCCCAGTATTTACCCTCAACAGGAGTTTCCAGATAGTCATCTTACTGATGAAGCTTTGAAAGCTTCAGCTGTTTTTGTACCAGCAGAGCAGGACACTGGGATACCAACAGGAATTCCTAATTACTACTCACCTCAAGAGAAACTCAAGATTTCAGCTGTGAATGCACTGGACGTCCAGAAAACTGAGTTGCCAACAACTACCCCTAGCTCCTACTCATATGAAGAGACGCCCAGGATTTCAACTGTGATTGGACCAGATGACCAGAAGACTCCGTTACTGACAGTTTTTCGTAGCCCCTATTCTCAAAGAGTAAAGCCTGCTATTTTATTACAACAGCAGTTGCCAGATGGAGATCAAAGTGAAAGTATTCTAAAGATTTCAACTGTCCCTGAACCAACTGATGTGAAACCAGTACCTCTCCCAGCTGGGAAACCAGTACCTCTCTCTAGTTCTTCTTTTCAGAGAGAGAAGCCTACTATTTTCTATCCACAGGAATTGCCAGACACACATCTAACTGAAGATACTCTGAAGCTTTCAACAGTTCCTGGATCAGCTGACCAGAAAACGGTATTACCAGTGGTTTCTCCTAGTTCCTTTTCACTCAGAGAGAAATCGAATATTTTCTATCAAAAGGATTTGCCAGATAGACATGTAACTGAAGATGCTCTGAAGTTCTCAGGTGGTCCTGGGCAAGCTGATCAAATTACTGGGTTGCAAACAGTTCCCTCTGATGCTTATTCAGATGGTGAGAAGCACAAACTTGTTTCAAAGCATGTCCAAAGGCAAATAAATAATTTGAATTCTTCTGACTCCAGTGTTAGCTCAAACAATATGCCTTTAAATTCTCAGGCTGATGGTAAAGTTGTAATAAATAAACCAGAATCTGCAGGTCTTGTAGATGTTGGCTCTGAGGAAATCCGGGATGCAGAAAATAGTTCCAAAACTCTTAAAGAAATTCAGACACTTTTAATGGAGGCAGAAAATATAGCACTGAAACGATGCAATTTTCCTGCTCCCCTTGTCCCTTTCAGAGACGTTGGTGATATTTCATTTGTACAATCTAAGAAGGTGGTTTGCTTCAAAGAACCCTCCATGACTGATGTGTGTAATGGTGATTTGCTTCAGAGACAGCCATACACAGAAGAAAGCCCAAACAACAGGTGCATGCAGAAGGATATTGGCACGCAGACAAATTTGAAATGCCAGAAAGGCATTGAAAATTGGGAGTTTATTAGTGCGACTACAGTTAGAAGTCCTCTACAGGAAGCAGAATGCAAAGCCAGTATGGCATTAGAAGAAACCCTTAGGAAATATGAAGCAGCCAAATCTGTGATGAGGTCTGAACCTGAAGGGTATAATAGAACTATTGGGAATAAAATTATTATCCCTATGATGACCATCATAAAAAGTGATTCAAGTAGTGATATAAGTGATGGAAATGGTTCCTACTCATGGGACAGTAATTTACCAGAGTCTTTGGAATCAGTTTCCGATGTTCTTCTAAACTTCTTTCCATATGTTACACCGAAGACAAGCATAACAGATAGCAGAGAGGAAGAGGGTATGTCAGAGAGTGAGGATGGTGGTGGTAGCAGTATAGATTCACTGGCTGGACATGTGAAAAACCTTCTGAAATGTGAATCCTCATTGAATCATGCTAAACAAATACTCAGAAATGCAGAGGAAGAGGAATGTCGGGTACGAGCACGAGGTAAGAACTGATAATTTGTCATAAAGGTAGGTTCAGGCTTATCAGCATTGTAGTTTAATTTGTTTAAAGTTAGATATTTAGAGTTCTAAATTTATTTTTCTATAAAACTGTTAGAATGATTATATTTTCTACTAACAATCCAGAAAAAGCCCATGTAACCAATAATATAGTTACATTATAGTATTAATAGTACTAGTCTGAGTTTAGGGTCACAGGGAGGGGAGATTCTGGTTTCTGACAGAGAGTAAGGAGGCGGCTTGGGCTTCCAAACTCCTAAAGCTGTTGTGTTGTGTTTCCCTGATCCTTCTATTATAGTCGCCTTATTTGGGGGGTAAAAAAAGCCTCCAGTTTGTTCTGCTCTAAATTCTTCTGTGTCCTCAGACTACATAATATTTTCTCTTCCCCATTTCTAATAAAATTCTTAGAGCTGTTCTTAGACATTAGGGAAAAAGACTTAGCAAAGTATTTCACACTAAAACTTGGGCTAAAAGTTTAAAAGAGAATATTTAGTACTTCCAGTAATCTCTAATAGTAGCATTCTATTAAAAACAGTAGCAAAAATCTTTAGGACATTGTGAAGAATATATTTTGAGGGACAATTTATAAGCAATTCAGGCCTGCCTAAGAATCTTCCCTTGAGGTTAACTTCTTAACACTGTTTCTTGTCCATTTTGATTTTACAAAAAACCCCCAACTTTTATTTATTATTTTTAAATATCAACTCTCATGGAAGTGTCAATAACTGTAGCTGGAGCTAAAAGGGGAGGCAAAGGGACTCTTACTTAGGAGGAAGATCAAGATAAAAATGACTGAATATCATATTTAAAGTGGTCTTTTTGTAGAAATATCTACAGTATGGTTTCTAAAAATCAGACTTTTCCATCTGATCTCGTCTGATCTTGGAACTAAGGAGGGTTGGGCCTGGTTAGTACTTGGATGGGAGACTGCCTGGGAATACCAGGTGCTGTAGGCTTTTTTTAAAAAAAGAAAACAAAATCTATATTCTAATAAATTTAATATAATTGAAAAAATAAGTAAATAAAAATCAGACTTTTCAGTGAAATGATCTTTGTCAAGTATTTCTATTAGGTTGTCATATAATTGAGAACATATGCCTTAGCATGTGATAGGCATTAAGTTGCATATGTTAGTGATCTTCTGTGTTCTTATAATTGTTGACAAATTGTCACTTTTGCAATTTATTGTCTCAAGTGTTTTTGTGCTTTCTCTCCAGCCTGGAATATGAAGTTTAATTTGGCACATGATTATGGATACTCCATTTCAGAATTAAATGAAGATGACAGGAGAAAAGTAGAAGAGATCAAGTCAAAATTGTTTGGTCATGGGAGAACAACTGACTTATCCAAGGTATAAAAGAAATCTAGAAATGAGAAAATGTGAAAGAATGGGTGATGGAATTTATATCCCTTGGTTATTGATAATTGGCTAAAGTGTTAGAAGTTTTAATTCTTCAAAAGTCAAGATGTAAGGATGAGATTCTGTAATTTTTGATTAATTCCGAATTCATCTATGAGAAAAATTTATCTTCGAAGAAAAAAAAGAACTGATTTGCTTGTTTTAGCAATGTATTATTAAAGCAGACACACTAAACATCACCCTTATTTTCTCTTGAGGGTGCTATCTTGAAATGCAGATAAATTACAGCTATTTTTAGATGTGTATTTTCTGCTTAAGAATACAGAGCTATAACAGCTTATGTATAAATGACTTTCTTTTTTTTTTTTTTTCTTCCAAACAAGTCAGTTGTCTGAATGACTTTCTTTTTAATGGTACTTCTTTTCCTTCTATTATGAACTATTTCATGCATAGATAAGAGTATATATGGATCATTTATATAAAGAATAAAGGCAAGCAAAAATAATTCTTGTATATTGGCTATTCAGCTTGAAAAATAGAACATTACGAATACTGTTGAAGTTCTTTGTGTCCCTTTCCTCAGTCTTATCTTGACATGTATTGATTTCCCTCCTCTTCAGTATGGTTTTGAACTCGATATAGATGGTATCAGCATGATATATATTTTTCTAAGAGTTGGGTTATTCACACAGCCTTAGGTTTTTGAGATTCTTCTATCTAGATGTACATAATTTTAGTTTATTCATTATTACTGTATAGTATTCCAGCGTATGAATATATCACAGTTTACATTCTACTTGGGATAAGGCATTTGCTCTGCTATTATGAATAGTAATAGGATATGATAATACCTGTCTTATAAGATTTTCATATGGATTGTATGAGATAATGCCTACAAAATGCTTAGTAGAATGTGATATCTAGTTAGTGCTCAATAACTGGTAGCTATGATTATTATTAATTCTATATGAATTGATATAGCTATCATATATTTGGATTTTATGGCCTGATTCATACAGAATTTCTTAGAAAACTACTCTTCAGTGATATTTGTTTTTGTTTTTTTTTTTTTTTGCATATTTGTGAACGAGCCTACTAATTCAGTGATATATTAATAGCTTAATTATTTGGCTTATCTCAACTTTGGAAAAGCTTTTTAAAAGTATAAAAAATTAGATTAGATTTTTAGGTTTTACATAAATGATTGTGAAAAACAAAATTAACAAATGATAAAACGAATGGAGAATTAGTTGTCTTAGCACTATTTTTTTTAAAGTACCTATTTTTCCCAGTGATCTGCATTTCCCCTAATTTTTAAAAATTTTCATGTGTGTAACAACCAGTCAGTACCAAAAAAAAAAAAAAAAAAATTTTCATGTGTTGATATTTCCAGACCCCTCAGCAATCAGATTGCCTCCCTTTGGGTAGACTCTAGTTTGTCTGTGTTTTTCTTAAAACAGGATATGCTGAATTAGATGAAACACAGAATTTCACATGTGATCTGACCAGCATGAAGAATTACCATATTTCGTAATTCTCTTTCTGCCAATGAATTCTGAGATTTTTAATGGTCACAGTGTACTTAGGCGTTTTTTCAGAAACACAAACTGCTGCCAAGATTTCTGTTCTCATTTCTTGTTTCTATATAATGTTTTAAAAAACTCTGCTGTATTTTTTTTTTTTTTTTTTTTAATTTTAGTGAATTATGGGGTACAAGTGTTAAGGTTACGTATATTGCCCATGCCCCCCTCTCCCTCGAGTCAGAGCTTCAATATAACCTTGCTATATTTCTTCTTCTCGGTTTTACATCGGTGTTCAAGCCTATTGGAATGATTTAAATCTAAATTTGGTGATTTATTAAATATCCCTTCTAGCATTTTGCCATTTGTATAATTGGGAACTCTTTTTATCCAAATTAGTGATAAAAGTCTTTACTAAGACATTTTCCAGAACATATACATACTATATAGCTTATCTGTAAATGATTATGTGAAAATACTAAAATTTACTTGGCAAATACTAAAGCTATAAGAATTTTTAAAACAGAAAAGTTTTTATGAAAGATTTTTATGATTATTATGAAAGCTTGAAAGATGTGATGAGAGGAGGTTGAGCATGGAGTGTTCCAAAAATTGTAAGATATGGATTGTTGGAAAGAAGGAAGAGAAATATATTTTGGGATGAGTATAAGCCTCATCATGCCCAGTTTTAAGAGGCTGTAATAAGTTTATTTTTCTCAGTTTAGGGTATTTGCTTCCCAGTGATATGTCAGGAGGTATCAGGGTAATAAGAAGCCACAAAATAAAAATGACATTTTTAAAGTATTAGTTTTATATAGTAGTATTTTTTAAATGTCTTTAGCTAACGTTTTGTTTTGAAATAATTGTAGTTTCACATGCAAGAGATAATATGGAGAGATCATGTGTACCCTTTATCTAATTTTCCCCAAATGTAACATTTACAAAACTGTAGTGATATATCACAACCACAATATTGATACTGATACAGTAAAAACACACTGTACATTGATATCATAGCAGGGGTGCCTCATGATGCCCTGTAATAGCTACATCTACTTCTTTCCTATGCCCACCATGCACTTAACCCCTAGCAACTACTAATTTGCTCCCCATTTCTATAATTTTATAATTTCAAGGATGTCTTATACATGAAATCATATAGTATGCAACCTTATTGTTTTCTTTTTTCACTCAGCATAATTATCTGGAGATTCATCCAGATTGTTGTGTGTATCAGTAGTTTTTATTTTTATTGCTATGTAGTATTTCATGGTTTAGATGTACCACAGTTTAAATATTCACCTATTGAAGGACATCTTGGTTGTTTTCCAATTTTTGGTTTTGCAAATAAGGCTACTATAAATATTAATGTTCGAGTTTCTGTGTGAACATAAGTCTTTCTGTGGGATAAATGCCCAGGATTGTAATTGCAATTGTTGGATCATATGGTAGTTGCATATTTAGTGTTTTTAATTTTTTTTTTTTTTTTTGGAGAGACAGGTCTTGCTGTGTTGCTCAGGCTGGTCTTGAACTCCTGGCCTTAGGTGATCTTTCTGCCTCCCAAAGTCCTGGGATTACAGGTGTGAGCCACCATGCCCAGCCCATGTTTAGTTTTTTGAGAGGCAGCCACACCATTTTCCAGGGTGTCTGTACCATTTTATATTCCCACCAGCAGTATATGAGCAGTCCATTTACTTCATATCCTCACCAGCATTTGATGTTGTTACTATTTTTTATTTTACCCATTCTAATAGGGAAATAGTTATATCTTATTTTGGTTTCAATTTGCATTTCCTTAATGGTTTTTGATGTTGAACATCTTTTCATATCTTTATTTCCTATCTCTGACTCCTATTCAGTGAAATATCTATGTCTTTTGCCATTTTCTAATTGGATTTTATTTTTAACTATTGAGTTCTTTGAATATGTTAGACACAAGTCCTTTATTGGCTGTGAGGTTTGCAAATGTTAACATTTTCTTTCAGCCTGTAGCTGGGAGACAGAGGGACATCTCATTTTGCTGGGTGGGTATGAAAGTCTAGACTTCCTACGTGATCTTCACTGATACCAGAGGGGAGGGCTAACTCATTGTCAGTCAGCAGGGATGAAAGTAAGTCATGGGCTCCTACTTGGCCTTCTCTGTAGCACCCTGGCATGGGTGTTGTGCTGCCTCATTATAGTTTGCAGCAAGAGTAGAAGTCTAGGCTCCTTGCTTGGCTATTGCTGATGTAGGTGTGGGTGGGGCTACAGCTTTTTCTGTGGTGGTTGGCTGGAGTAGAGCAGTTATTGTCTAAAAGTTTTCTATCTTGCTAGGATGCACTTTTACTGGTTTTTGGCAAGTGAGAGCAAATTTTTGTTAGGGCTTTTGTCTGTGGTGTTGTTCTTGTTGGCTTCTTTAGTTCTAGGTGTATATATATGAGACAAAAAGAAAACTCAGGGATCTCAACACCATATTATTCCTCAGGTCCCTAGATCCCTAGTCATTCTGCTTTCATCTCTACATCTTTCAGATTCTTCTTACATTTGTTTTATATGTACTGTCCAGGTAGTTCATTCTACTTAGCAGGAGAATAGGGAAAAGTACATCTCTCTATTCCATCATGTGGGAAGATTCAGCATAATTTAAAATATTTTCATATGAAATTGAATGTTGCTGTATCATCAAACAGAATGCCAATTTATAATGACTTTTTAGATAAAACATAGAAACCTTAAAGGAATTTTATGTTTGTGGTAGCTTTTGATATTGATCCCACGACCAAGGAAAAGATACTAGTTTTTTTTTTTTTTTCACTGCTCGTAGGGGTTTTACTAGGATGTAGGTCAAACCTCTAAAGTAGAGAGCCAAAAATACAACAGCTTAAATAAAGTAGAATTTTATTTTATTTTTTTCATGTCATAGTCCAGGGAAGGTGAGCTCTGTTCCTTGAGGTCTCCAAGTACTCATGCTGTCTAGGCAACTGAGCCATCCTTACACTTGGCTTCCAAGGTTGTTCCAGGCATCACCATTTTCAGTGGGTGGGACTAATGGTGATGGCAGTGGCAGTGAAGGTCGAGAACTTGATTTTAAGGACAGGAAGTGGAAGTTGTATTTAACACTTTTGTTTGTATTACATTGGCCTAAACCTAGTCATATGATTACAACTAGCTGCAAAAAAAGAAACAAGGAATGTCTCTCATTTGGTGGCTATGTGGCTAGCAAAAGTTTGCATGAGGGAAGGAGGGTGAGAGTATATACTGGGGGATGATAGTAGTCTTTGCTCTGTTTTATACTTTAATGGAAAATTATGAGAATTCTCTGAGTGGTCTTTGTTATCGTGAGTGTTTTTTATTCTATGGTTAACTATCTTTTTCTTGCTGTGTTCTTTAACCTTTTTTATTATAAAAGGATGATATGACCTTCATGGTCAAATCTTAGCCTGGATATAAAACTGATTTTTATATAACTATTTGTACTACTTCAAGTAAGAACCTGTTTATATCTTCTAGGATTTACAGAGTCCACGGGGAATAGGATGCAAGCCAGAAGCTGTATGTAGTCACATTATTATTGAGAGCCATGAAAAAGGATGTTTCAGGACTCTAACTGCTGCTGAACAATCACAATTGGACAGCCACACTTGTGTTTTCAGATCTTCTGACCCCTCAGAGATGATCAGAGGACGGCGGAGCCCATCATCATGGAAAGATGGGCACATCAACCTTTCTACATCCCTAGACCAGAACAACCCCCATCTCAAAGTTTGGAATTCCGTACAGTTACAAAGTCATTCCCCATTCCAAGAGTTTGTATCTGATGACTTCAAAATTAGCAAGGGTCTTCGAATGCCATTCCATGAAAAGATGAATGCTTTTGTGCCACCTAAAGAAGTAGATTTTCATTCTTCATCACAAATGCCGCCCCCAGAACCCACGAAAAAGTTTACTACCTCCATCACTTTTTCATCTCACCGACATTCTAAATGCATTTCAGATTCCTCTATGTTAAAGGTTGGTGTTTCTGAAGGTAGCCAGTGTACTGGAGCATCTGTGGGGGTATTTAATTCTCATTTCACTGAAGAGCAAAATCCTCCTAGAGATCTAAGTCAGAAAACCTCTTCCCCATCATCATTTAAAACACATAGTCATTCATCAGATAAAGATGTGACTATTTTAGCAGAAGGTAGTAGGAAAAGCCAAAAATTACCTGTTAATTTTAAGCATTCTCATAAAGAAGAAAAATGCTTAGAAAGATCAGATTTTAAAGGCAGTCATTCTGAACCCAGTGCCAGTGCAAATTGTAGCAATTTTAAGGAAGTTCAGTTTTCTGATAACCATACCCTCATTAGCATGGGCAGACCAAGTTCCACCCTAGGAGTAAAACAGAAGAATGTAACTATAACTCCAGATATTCCTTCTTCCATTTTTCTTGAACAACGAGAGCTCTTTGAACAAAGCAGAGCCCCACATGCAGATCACCATGTGAGGAAACAGCATTCTCCCCCTCAATGTCAGGATTATTAGGGAGGTTGCTCAAGGTTCAGGGAGTATCGAAACTAGCTGAAGCCAAGGGTGCAAGACCCCATCATCTACCTCCAAATATAAAGAACATTGAATTGCCAACTAAAATAATATAGAAAAAATTTCCAGACCATGGTGGGTGCATGCCTGCGTAGTCCAGTACTCGGGAGGCTGAGGCAGGGAGATTGCTTTTTTTCTTTTCGGAGCCCAGGAGTTGAGGTTGCTGTGAAGCTACGGCTCGATCCACGTCTCTAGCCCTGGGCCACAGAGTGAGATCTGTCTCAAAAAAAAAAAAAAAGAAATACAACGGATAATATTCAAATTGATAGCACAGAAACGAAAATACTCATCTATGAATACTATGAAAATCTCAAGCAATACTCAAAAAATATATGGGCGGAAATTCCTGGAAACACTACAACTTCCCATACTCAGCGAGGAAGAAACAAACTCCTGACAGACCAATAACAACAGTGAGATTAAAGCAGTCAATAAAAAAATTCCCAATCAAAAAACCCCAGACCAGATAAATTCACAGCTGAATTCCTACCGACCGTACAAAGAAGAGCTGGACCCATCCAACAGAAATTTCATACATCAGAAGGGAATCCTCCCTAACTCATTCTATGAAGAATATCACCTTGATAACAAAGCCAGGAAAGACAACAACAAAAACACATATAGACCAATTTCCTTATGAATATAGAAGCAAAATCCTTAATAAAAATACTAGCAAACTGAATTAGATAGACATCAAAAAAGTAATCCACCATAACCAAGTGGGCTTTATCTCAGGGATGCAACACATGTAAGCCCATTCAGGATGGTCAACACATGTAAATCAATATTAGAATGTGATTCGTCGCATAAACAGAAGCAAAAACAAAGATCAGTATATGATCATCTCAATAGACCAGAAAAAGCATTTAACAAAATCTGCTTCCTTTCATAAATAAAACCTCAAACCTAGGTGAACTAGCTCAAAATTATAAACATTACATGACAAGCCCACAGCCCAACTCATACTGAATGGACAGAAATTTGGAAGCAAGTTCTTTACTGGAGCAAGACAAGGTGCCTATTGTTGCCACTCTATTCAACATAGTCTGGAAGTCCTACCCAGAGAATCAGACAAGAGAGAAAGAATAAAGGGTATCCAAATCTGGAAGAGGAAGTCAAACTATTGTTCTCTCACTGATAACATGATCTTATATCTAGAAAATCCCAAAGTCTTCACAAAAGATTCTAGAATTGATAAATAAATTTCAGAAAAGTCTCAGATTATAAATCAGTGTATGCAAGTCAGCAGCATTTACATAACAATAACACGTCAAGCTTACAGTCAAATCAAAAACTCTATACCGTTCACAATACGCTAACAAAGAAAATAAAAACTTAGGAATATACTTAACCAGGAGATGAAAGATCTCTACGAGGAAAATAA